TATTCTTTTTTTTTTTTTTCAAACGCCACTCGCGTTAATTTTAAAATCGCGTGTCAGTAATGAATTGAATTAAAGCATTTTTTGTAAGGGCGTTAAGTGAGGAAACTACTCCGTTCCAGGCACGTATTGCTTCGAAATTTCCAAGAAAATATGAACGCAATAGATGCGGTGGTCATCTCATCAGTGCATTAAACGTAGGATTGACCTAGACATATTAGTCTCAGAGTGGCCCTTTCTGCCCAGGAACGTGAATGGGTACCAGAGATCTTCTGTATATGGCCTTTCTTAAGTTGATTTAAAGAGGCAAAATTTCGTTACGTAACAATTTTCTTAGACCCGCGTGGAATGAGCTTCTTTGGACGTTGGCTAACTCCGTAAAATCGGCGGTAATCAATGCTGAAAAAACCCAAATACGGAAAACAGCACCTTTCTCTCTCGGCTATTCGAAAGATACCAGCAAGAACTCTGACGGTTTCTTAACCACACAAAAAGGGTCAAATACGTTAGCTTAGTAACGAAATATTCCGTAGCATTTGAATGTCTTACTATACAACGCTTGTTTTTCGTCAAAAGCCTTTTGCTCTCTCCTTACTTTTCTGTGCCTTTACCAACTCAAAGAGCAAAAGCTTCTCTCTTCATTAGTGCCCACGTTAACTTTCAACTCTCCTTATAAAGCACACACGAACTCTTGAAGTTCAGTAAACTTTTGTCTTATCAGGTTACACCGCCCGATGCTTCAAGTATGACGGAAGCTCAAGGAAAATTGGATAACCTTTTCCAATCTGGGAACGTAAACAAAGCCATGCAGATGGCATTTGCATTGCTCTCTGCGAATAAAGACACAGGGGATGCACACTCGGTAAGCTCATCGGACGATGCAATTCCTTAATATTTTACGTTAAATAAACTTTCCGAAATTTAAAACTTGACGAACCGGATCTCACGATTGCTTTGCTTGATCGATTTCATTTGAATGGTCTCCCGCCGGTGTCTCTCCAGAGACGTAAAAGTTAAAATCACATTTCATGGCATAGGAGGTCATTACTGTTAAGCAACTGCACACATTTGAGTAGTCCACACTAGAGTCTCATCCAAAGACTGAAACGTTACAACTACTTTAAACAGCTCTCGTTTGAACGGTCAGATATAAGTGTTTCATCCACAGACCAAAACGCAGTAAAATAAGCAACATTCGGCATCATAATTTTTTTTTTAACTGAAATCTAAGTGATGGTAACATATCAAGGCTTCAGCAACACACTTGTAATATTCTAGTGGACCAGACTGGAGACAGGGGAAGATATACAATAAGGCCATTGTTTTGTTCCTCAGTTCAAAAGTTCTCTGATCGACAAGATGGAAAATGTTCAGATTGGTAGTGTAGAGCAGGCGACATTAGTCGTGGGAGTTCTTGCCATGGCCACGGAGGACGAAAACGGCATATCTGGCGATTCTCAGGTAAAAAGAATTAATGATATCTTGTAGCAAGAACGGTGCTATGCATGGGTAAATTCTCACGAAATAAATTGAAATTGAATCAATTGAAAGTTAAAGGAAGATCAAATTATTACACGCGTTTCTAAATACGACAGCCCCACCTCATCATATTCCACATCGTGTCATTTCGGTGCGCCTCTTTGACACATAACGTGAGTTTGGTTGAACTATATTTCGTAATTCAGTTTCAAAATATTATGATTTGTATGCTGTATGGCAAAAATTGCCATCGATCCAACAGCGTTTCTCATCATAGGTCTCTAACCATACA